ATTTTGAAGGAACAAGATAAAATCCTGCTTCTTAGAGGTTATTGATAGGACTAAATCCATTCCTGTGCTACACACATTGGGCATAGTAGCCTTGAAATGCCCCTTCAGCATTGAGAGATGTCAGCCCTGCTGCTAGCTTTGCTTTTTTTCTATATTACAATTTCAGCAAGCAGCCAACTGGAGTATTTCAGTCTGTAGTGCTCTCGTTACTTGCTTCTCAGTTCTTCCTTGCTGCTCCAATATCGGAAACCTCTTCCTCCTGATCTTGGCATGGGAATCACTAATTAGAGGGCCTGAGTGGAGAGTGATTAGAGGCAGAACCCAGGGGAGGTTGTGCATTTGCTGTGCACCTGGAAGCTGGGTTAAGTTCCAGCATATCTAGCACCTCCAGCCTGTTCATATTCAGATCCATAAACAAATTTCCCATGGAGTAGGATTAAGTCTTATTTTGCTGTCATAGAAGATAATGTCTGGGACAGTTGCATCCATGCTTAGATCGATCCTATGCCCAGAGTTTCCATGCAGGGGATATAGATCAGCAGGCCATACCCTATGCCCAACCACTGTGCTCTAGGCCTGGGGGGGCTTGACTCCAATTATCTAGTTAGGTTCTGTTGCCTCTAATTGTTGTACAGGATAATGCCTAAACCAGTGACTCCAGGTAAGAATTCTTCTTGGTGAGGGAAACTAAGCAGAACAGGCTAGATTCAAACCTAAGGTAATTTCCTGCAGTCAGTGATGCATCAGCAGTGTAACAATTTTCCTGAAGTATTTGGAACCCACTACCTGTCGAATGCCACTTTTGACCAGTACCTCCTAAAGGGAGCTATGGTTACTACCACATAGAGCCAGCTACTGTAAATCAGCATAACCCCATTAAAGCCAATAAAATAGACTTGATTTATGTTGGATAAGGTTTTTTTCCCCATTGAGTTTAATGGCCATTGTCACTGGCAGTCTCTCAATTTCAGGATGATCTTTACCATGGCTCATTGATGGGTCTTGAAGTGAAGTAGCTGTCATGCAGGTCTACACGTAATCCCCAGCTACATCGCCATAATAACACCCCCCACCCCCCAAGTACACTGTACCACTATGGCGATGTAGCAGTGAAATCTAACCATGTGCCACATGCATGGCAAAGTAACTGCCTGTACTGCACCATGCTTTAGTACTTCCAAATACTAAAGCATGGTGCTATAGCAAAGTTGCCATATGGCAACGTGTAGACATACCCATAATGTCTGGTCCAGTGAAGTTCGTGTTTGAGGATCACTGATTCAATGTTAGTAATGTTGGCTTCAATAAGGATGTTGGCATTTGTTTAGTGATCTTCCTATTTGATATGGGGGATTTTCCAGAGGTATCATTGGTAATACCTCTCCAGGACAATGTTGAGATGATGACAGTAGGTCACCAACATTTCATGTCCATAGGGGCATGTGGGGATGGTGACTATACAGTAGACCTGGATATTGGTGTCTTCCCTTTGATTACAATGAATAAATACATGCTGAAGCAATTTCCCAGAGACACTTGCACACTGGATCCTGTGCTGGATCGCCTCATCAACATTCATGGTCTGAGGGAAGCAGCTATCAAAGTAGATGTGCTCAAATATCTCTAGGGTCTTTCCCTTATGGTAAATTGGGGATGTGGGTCACATTCATGCCACAGGGATGGCTAATAGAGCATTAATATCATCTGTATTTTGGGAGGAAAACACATTAGAAATTCTGAAGTTGCTTCACTGTAAAGCGGTTCCATCCTTGTGCTGGCTTTTGGGCTAGATTTTTTTTTTTTTTTTTTTTAAGTGTGTGTTGGATGCTAGGCTCTTTTTAACGGGAGCTTTGAGAGATGGAGCACTTGGGGAAATCTGACCCTTGGCAAAATGTCTAACAATGAGTTGAGCAACTGACCTCAGCTAGTGCATGGAGAAATCTGACCCTGCATATTTTTTCATCTAGAATCTTACAAAGAGGTTTTTTAGCTCTTGGATTTACAGTACCTGCATTGCAGATAAATGGCCTATAATCTCATTAAAAGGTGGTGACCACAGATTTCAAGAGTCGACAATAAACTTGTATAAAAGTTTCAAACAAGACTTTATGATAAGAAATTGTTATTTTGAATTCCCATTTCAAATGCCTCCTCTCTCCACTGGCCTACAACATCCTATAGCAGAGACACTTTCCATAGATGCAATAAAGCAACAGGTCAAATAGCCCTGAAGCAGAGCTTTGACAGGCCCAAATAAAGATGCAGGAGGTCAGTTGTCTCTGATCCCCTAGTGGAAGGATTGCAATCTGATTGGGGACATGTTGGATTGATTTTTGTGTTTCACCTTGACAAACTGGGCTCATTTTCTGCGCCCAGAAATGAGTTTATTAGTCTCATCCTAGTCCAGGTCCACATCACAAAAGCCCCAGGTTGTTTGTCATGACTGGCAGTTGCTGCTCAACTCTGTATAGTAGTGAGGGACTCAGCTAAAGACATGCACACTGACAGAGCTGTGTAGGATGTGTTGAGCAAGCACAGGAATGGGGTATTTATTGGCTATCATCCTTAGTTAACAGAGCTTTAAAAAAGGTGAGATAAGTATCATAAGCCACAGTTCATATGACTCATGAAACACAGTGAAGTGCCTAGCTCCCAGAGCTACAAATAGCACCCTACACATGTGACTCTCAGTGTGATGGCTTAGCCATTGCACCACAATGCTGCACCACACTGCTATCTAGAAGCCTGTTAGTTTATAAAGCTATTGGTCTGCACTCATCTTTTATGCTTTCTGCTTTAAAGAATGCTCTGGAGGGTATTGCATTCTTTACATGTTTCCCCACACTTCTAAATATACATGGGCTAGATCCTTAGGGCATAGCTCTGCAGAAATCAGTGGAGTTATACCAATGTATACCAGTTAAAGAGCTGTTCTCGCTAACCATAATGGATTACTTGGGCCTGTTGATTCCAGTTCATGTCAGCTGGAGATCTGGCCCAGTAATCAATTATCGTGTATCCCCTTTTTTCTACCTCTACTTCTCTTCCATGCCATCCTCTGCCCAATAGAGGAGACTGAACAGTACATTTCCATGCTGTTCCTTGCCCAAAACCAGTGTAGTATGGCCTGATCCAGCAAGGTGGTTTGATGTTTACAAATACCAGCAACTGCTACTGATTTCCATAGCATTCTTCCTAAATACAACTATTGTGAGTGGTACCCAGTGAGGTCAGATTCATCTCCATGACTCTTGTCCTCAGTCTAGGCATCAAATTCAGGCCAGGTACAAATAGGCACAACTATTATTGGGTCCACCTGTTATTTGATGTGATGCCCACATCTGATGCAAGTAAGTGGATATGGATATATTACTAGGAAGTATGGAATACTGTGTATCTTCCTGGGTAGGCAGACAACCAGACAAGTAGCACTTAAGAGCAGTATGGAAATTACTGTCATTAGAGCTCTTTAAACCAACCTGAAAGCAGAGTTGTTCCAAAAGATATTCCTTTCCCGTACAGTTGTGTCTACACTAAGCTGCATTTGGTTGAATTTGTCCCAGTGCCTAATGGATATTGTGTAGCTATTTTCAGTACAGTGGTCAAAGTATCACAGCTCAGATTCTACCCTGTTTTGCTACCTTTTGTATGATAGAAAGATGGTTCAGAGGTTAGGGTACTAATCTAAGACTTGGGGAAACTCAGTTCACTTCTCTGCTCTTACAAATTCTGTTATACGATCTTGGACCAGTCACTAAGTCTTGCTGTGACTGACTTCTCCATCTCTAAAGCAGTACTCCCCTACCTCACAGGATCAATATGTTGAAGACCTGGAGGTGCTCAGGTGATGTGTTGATAGGAGCTGCACAAGTACTCTAAACAGAAAGATCCTTGAGTGGGGTTACTCGGCATTATGTTTGGGAACAGCTTGATCAAAGAGAGATTCTAGCTAACAGTTCAGTCTGCTCTTTCACCTTTATCTTGTTTTGACGGGGGGGGGGGGGGGGGAAGGGGGGAGAGAGAGAATCTGTTTGTACTTACTAAGATGCCATATATCCTCTTTTTTCTTCCTAAACTGCATTGACTGTTCCATCTGCTTATTTATCACCCAGAGTTAGAACCCGGATTCCAGTTGGCAACCTGCGTGTTGTGTTGTGGTGGTGTTGTTTTGTTTTAAACAAGGCACTGAAAGATCCAACAAAGCTTTGATACATACAAACTACTTGTAATGCAGCTGTTAAGGCTCTTTCATCATATCCATGAATAAAATGAATTATATTGCTATCAAAATACATTTGATAAATTAAGCTTAATCCTCCTCTATTGCTTTTGGATAGAAAGCCCTTCAAGTGAGAGAGAGGCTCCAAATGACTTTTTATATTAAATGGTTTGAACCTTTGTGCTTCAAAGACCGATGAAAAAGAAAGATTAAATACAAATGCATATAATAATAAAATAAAAAGATCTAGCAATATATAATCAAGTTGTCTCAATGAATTTATCAGCCACTTTTGCTGCTAAAACTTTTGTTCTAATCCAAGGGAAAGGCCCCAGTGAAATGAATTTGGTGTATTCTTGCTTTATAAAAAAAGAGTGCTCATGTCCTGCAATCTTTCCACCTCAAACAATGGACTAGCTTGGTTTGGGATGGGAGTCCTCCACAGGGCATGTAAGTAAAGGGATCCAGCCCACTGACATGATGATAGTCAGGCCTATATTGCAGGAGGTGCCGTCTTTCAGATTCCTTGTTCTGTTACAGTAGAGTGAGAGAGAAGCACCAGCTAAAATCAAGGCCCTGTTATGCTACATATTGGCCATGATGAGAGAGACCCTGTCTCAAGGAAAATATAATCTAAATAAATAAGACAAGGGATGGAAGGTAACACATTAAGTGACTTGTTCCAGGTCACACAACAGGTGGGTGGCAGTCCAGTAAAGATCCCAGCTCTCCTGAATCCTTGTCTACCATCTTATCTACTAGAGCATGCTGTTCTGCATAAATGACTGCAGAGAGCCAGGATCACAGTCTGAAGATACCAGATCATTTCTCACAGGAAGTGAAGATGGTATCTCTATTGCCTTAGTCATGCCCCTGCATTACTGTTCTTCCTTCCCAAGTATCTTCTCATACCATAATTGAATGGACAGTTCTGATTAATTTTCTGTCTCACAACTGTGTCATGTGACATTAGGATCCTTTGGGATTCCATCCTAGAAGTGGCAGCATTTTACTGGAGAGTGAAAGGATCCCTACTTAGCCTGACTCTGCTCAGTAGGGATTTTCTGAGGCTTTTTTAGCCAGTGTTTTACAAGTGCTAAGAGTTTCCTGAATAAATGAAGCTATACTAGGGCTTGTTGCAAAACCCACTGGAATTAAAGGAAAAACTTACAGTTCAGTGGATCTTGTATTAAGGAAGTGCATCCACCCCCCTAACTTTAAGCATGTACTTAAGCCCCTCCCTATTCGGCAAAGCACCTGCTTAAGTCCCTTTGTCTTTAAAGTTAAGCATGTGCTAGGCTGCTTTGTTGATTCACAGCATTCATGCAGTTGGTTTATTATTATTAACCATGATGATTATGATAACAGTAGTAATATAATAATAGCTATTGTTACTAAACCTGGTTTGTTACATCAGGCAATGGGAAACGGTTAAAAGGGTCAGATAACCAGTTTTCTCTGAAGAGACAGTGTACATTAAAGGTATTCTCCTCTTGAAGCCAGAGGCTGGGTCAGTGCAGCTTATCCATACACGGTGGCTTTCTTTTTCAGGCATGCAGTTTCTAATTGCTGAATTCATCAGGAGCAAGGAATACAATTCTGGGTCTTGGCTTCACAATGCAGTACCATAAAGAGTGCAAGTTGCAAGCAGGTATGAAAGTACTTATGCAAGATGAAGAGGAGGGGGAGGAGAAATGCTAGTGAAATAAAATCCTGTTTCCTCTGCAGCCTGTTTCCACTGTGCAGTCAGGACTTCTGCTCCTAAAGAAAAGCTAGAAGGTTGTGCTTACTAAAGGGGTGAGGGGGGGGGGGGGAAACCCTGTTTCACCATATTCACACCCTCATCTTCCTTAGTAATAACTGCAAAGGTTTTGATTCCCTCTTTATGGTGCTCTCTACTTCCAACTAAAATCAAAGAGTGGCAAAGGCAGGCCCTGATACTTCAATCACCTACTTGCAGGTAAGCCCATAGCCTGACTGACTTGTACCGAGTCTGCATGGTGAGAAAATGCACTAACCTCATACTGCAGGATCAAGACCTTTGTTTGTAAGACTGTTTAGGCAGGGATGGTCTCTCACTACGTGTCTAGGGATGTCTTTTATGTTGTTTATCATAATCTTGGTTGCATCCTCTAAACCCCATAGTCCAATTGCTATTACTGTTAATTATATGGCCAGTCTCTATATTACAATCATGCCCACTCTGGACAGAAGTAAGTGAAATGAGATGTACCAGGCACTGCTGATAAGCCCTGCTCTGGTACCCTTTGCAGCCTTGAGTGAATCTCTCTACCCTGTGCCTGCGTTATTAAATGGAGGTGATAGTTATCCATCTCTCCGGCTGGCTAGGCTCTTATTGCAGCCCGCTGAGCTCAGGGCCAGCGATTGCACAGGTCTGTCATGCATTCTGAACACGGGACAGACCCTGTAAATACCCAGTGTTATTTTTAGTGTCCCTGGAGAAGCGAGCGAAGGAGCTTTGACTCCAAACTGGGTGGTAAGGAGAGGAATCATAGCTTCTTCACAGAGAATTAATTCCCTCGGGGGACTCCTCCCAGCCTTTCTTCTGGGGGAAAAAATGCCAGAACCTTTGTGGGGGGGGAAAAAAGATCCTAAACAAGTAGCAAGAAGAGCCAGGGCCTTGTTGCACCTTGCACTGGGAGCCGCTCAACTGCTGATGGGTGGCGGTGCTAGGTGGAGTTTGGAGCAGTTGTGTGTTCAGGCTGGCAGGTAAGACTGAGAAGTAAGAATCCCCCTCACCTCCCATACGGGCTCCCCCCACCCCTCCCCACCTTGCTTGTGCCTGCCTGTGCTGTCTCCCAGAGGAGCAGGCAGGGAGGAGTCAGCCTGCCTGCCCCACCGCTGCTCTCTCCCTGCTGAGCCAGCCCCGAGAGCGGCAGGCGTCCCTGGAGAAGCCAGCGAAGCAGCTTTGAGTCCAAACGGGATCATAGGGAGAGGGACTAGCGGGTTTATAGAAAATGTGGGTGGGAAGGGACCTCAGGAGGTCGCATCTAGTCCAACCCCCTGCTCCAAGCAGGACCAGCCCCAACTAGATCATCTTAAAAACCTCCAGGGAGGTTAACCCTGCGCTGCCTGCGCCCCGGGACAGACACAGGCACGGGGGTCCGGCACGGGGGCAGGGGGCAGCCGGCGTGTTGTCCCCCTCGAGGCGGCAGCCTGCAGACGGGCACCAGG